AAAAGAAAAGAAACTATAACAAAATCTTTCAGCTGCATGAAGAGTAAAAGAATATCAGCTCATAAATTATCTCTAATCCTTTTAATTTTTCTTGTGATAGTCACATACCAGAGTAAAGTACACATCAATTATTTTCCAGAATGTTTACTTTTGGGTGGTAAAAAAAAATGAAAATAAACAGTGAGTGTCGACGTTGGTCACAAATATCTGTGGATCTAAAAATTTCCAGTTTGAAAAGAAATTCTAATTTATACACTACAGGCATCAGAAAAAACATGTTCTTCTTTGTACCGCTTTGAAGTTTTCCAGTATTGTCTTGCGTCATTTTTCTTAGGTGTCGATTTAGCTCATTCGTCTGAGTTGAAGTTTTTTTTAATAAAAATTTTTATTCTTTTGTTATGAGTTTGTCGGCTATTTTTCGCTTTCTCATAAATCACAAATATATTTTCCATGCCTATTAAGGTTCAAAATCGTACATTAAAACCAGGTCAATTAAATGTTACCCAAAAAACATATGATAATATTGTCTTACAACAATTAAGAGAACTCTGGACAAATTATGGTACTTTAGATGAAATATGGTTTGATGGCGGGTTAATTTATTTAAAAAGAAAAAAGATTATTCAACTATTAAATATTTCTTTTTGTATTATATTGATGTAGATATACAACAAGTTTAAAAGATCCAATAACTGCATTACTAACAGAACTTCAACCTGAAGCAATTGCATTTAATGGTTATGGTGTATCACTGAATTCTGCAAGATGGATTGGTACTGAAATGGGTATTGCACCTGATCCAAATTGGTCAACAGGAATAACAAATGATGGTGGTGATCCAAATAGTTCAATATTTTGTCCAGCTGAATGTGATACAACTCTTCAAAATAAAGATCGATGGTTTTGGGTATAATTAAATTTTAAATAATCGATAATAGATTTTTTTTTGTTTTGTTTTTGATATTCTTTTATGTAGGGTGTTAATGCAACACTTCGTTCACTTTCTGAATTAATTCAAGTCTATCATGAAACAGTTGGTCGAAATTGTTTATTAATGCTTGATCTAACACCTGATAGAACAGGTCTTATACCACCTGCTTATGCACGTCGATATAAAGAATTAGGTGATTTTATTCGTTCATGTTATGGAACATCTGTTTTACCTATGGAAAATCTTATATCTGATGATTCACTTGAATATATTCAATTATTTGTTTCATCACCAGTTACTGTTGATCGTTCAGTTATTCAAGAAGATCAAACTTATGGTCAAGTTATTCGATCATATATTGTTGATGTAAAATTAGTTAATACAACAAATACTCATCAATGGATGATAGTAGCACAAGGTACAAGTATTGGTAATAAAAAAATTGATTTATGGCAAGTAGGACCACTACTTATCAATGCTGTTCGATTAACCATTACAAAAACAGTTGATAAACCTGTGATAAAATCATTTACTGTTCATTTATGTAATTGAACATTAAAAAAAAACTTTTCATTTTCATTTTCATTTTCATTTTTACTTTTCATATTTAAAACTCATACATAACGAAAAAGTTATCCATAGTGATTATGAACATGGAGTCAATGGAAAATATCTGTTTCTTTATATTCACAGTTTCTAATAGAAATCGAAAACAAAATATAAATACAGAGTGTTTAATAATCTTTGAAGCTTGACGAAAATTAGTTCAGATGCAAATCATCAAAAATAATATCGGATTGAATTCATTTATATGAAGTGTGAGTATTTATGCAGGTCTTTGAAATGGCATATTATTGTATGACATCTTCTCCTGTAATAATAAAAACATAAACATGAGAATGTAATGATAAACTTTTCGAAATGGATCAACATGATCTTTTTAAAGATTTTCTAATAGAGTGCTGAACATATTTTAGATAAAATAATGGTGTAACATGAACCAATAACTGATATCGGCGCGGAACTTAAAGGTACGCGACTGGAAATTTTATTACATCAGGAACGAAAGTTGTTGGAAATCTGTGGTTTTCAGCAATCGAAAGAAGAGACATGGAAACGTCTTTTTCTTCGAATAATATATAGATCGAAATCATTTTGAAACTAATGATATCTGCAAAAAACATTCAAGAAAAATATATGAAATGATATATGGTTCCGATGAAATTTTCAGAAAGTTCTGTATTTGTGTTATATAAAATGTCGAGCTTTTAAGTGTTGAAATTCTTATTATTTATGATAATAGTTAGCGAAAAAGAAAAGATATATATTGTAGTTGATACTTTTTTGAATTCTAGTATCTTGATTTTATCAGGAATTTTGTATAAGAATATTGGATAAATCTCCTGAGGGAAGAAAATCGTAAGTTCCATTTGTAGAAAAAAAATGTTTGCAGATAGTTCTCAATTGAAGTCGAAGAGTTGACTTTCAATAGTTTTTCAAGGTCATCAATCGTTTAACCATGATAATCTTTTATTGGTAAATTGACTCGATTATTTTAATGTTTTCTTCTTGTTGTATGGGTCATATCTCAATCATTATTTAGTCTTCAAGAACAAATATCATTGATTAATCATGTGTTTTTAATAGATATTAAAAAATGTTGAAACTTATTTCAAAGTAATTAAAATCTGATTGATCATTATTTGTTGTAAAACCACTTTCAATTTTTAAGCAACTAGTTAGTAATTTATATTTTCTCTTAAGATTTCAATCATTTGTCTACTTAGAATCCAATATAGCTAAAAATATCATTAGAACATTTCAAACAACATTGAAGATTTTCATTCGTATTTTTATTGTTCAAGTTCTCTTTGATAAAGACAACAAATTATCACACAATAAAGAATTGCAATTATCATAAAAAAAGAAACAATTAGTAAGCATTGATATATATATGAATATATAAGCGAGCTAATAAATCAAATTTTTCTCTTAGATGATGAAACAGATACTTGTTTTTATTAATTATTATCAATAGAGAACGTTATTCAATAAATTTTGTATGATAAATATGATTTTGTTATATTTTAATTTCTCAAAATGATTTTAATTATTAATCAGCTCTAAATTTTGTTTCTATTCGTGGATCGATGAATGATTGCATCATAAAGTTTTCATAATAAGTATTCTATAATTTCAATCTATATCTTCTATTTTCGTGAACTTACAAATATATTTGTAGTTTCGTATGGCATGAATGGAAATGACTGGTTGTTAGAAGAAAGTGAAATTGATGCAAATGAAGACAGCAAATAGAAGGGCTTGTGATATAAAGAATAGAATAGGGAAAGCATATCAATCTGACATCGAAGAGATCTGCATTTTTGACCACCCATATTAGTATCGATAACGTTTTGAAGAGGTCAGGGCTGAACAGACGGATCTATCGATCGATTGTTAGTTCCATCTCTGTTATCATTGCAGCCAATCGAAAACAAAAATATGGAATTCACATTGTTTTGTTTCATCTAGTTTTCAAAAGAACAGTTTGATGTAGTTCAATGTCTATGTATTGTAAGTTGATACTAGTCTTCGGAATTCAGATATTAATTAGTCGTTTTAAAAAAGAAACGTTGTGTTTTACTATCGCATTTCTGATGTACCATATTGTTAAACTATTAATCATATACTGTCTAACTGAATAAAACAGTTGACAATTATCTTAAAAGTTTTATCTTTGTTTTTTAGGCAGAGAAAAAAATCGATAAAAGATTCTACCTATATATTCGTCGGTACAAAAGATCCTGTAATCTCTTAAAACTGTTTATTGGTTGATGATGAAATAAAACTCAAGTGATCATTCATATTCTAAAGCAAAATTAGTCATGTTTCGAAAACTTTCAGAACTGTATTCTTGTTGATACTAGTCAATTAGAAATGTTAATGTAATCAAAGATAATGAAGTTCTATTGTACCATCTTACTGAAGAAAAAGAGTTATTCGATCTAATGAACCAATAGTATCAAATTCTCCAACATTTTCAATATTGCAGTAGATTTGTTCGTCTCATTGAAAGTAGGATTTTTTTCCTTTTTTCCGGTGTATTTAGCTAAGAGTAAAGTTGTTTCAAATGTATTCTTGGATGGTAATAATGCCAAAGATAAATTGTGTTTCTAAGCACTTGAAACCAATAGGTCTCAAACGAAGTTTATTTTACTGTATAGAAAAGAAATATCAAATCTGTTTATATCATTTTTATAGCTAGTTGGAAGAAATTGACAAAAAGAACTTGTTAAGTTATCAAAAGCTAATTATAATGCAGTAGAAGAGTCCTCGAATAAATATATTAAATCGATGGATATTTAAGTTTGATTTTAAGATTTCTATTAAATATGATACTATTGCAATAAGAATATTCAATCGAATAGAAACGAAGAAAGTAATCATATCTATAGGAATATTTATAAATTTAATATCGATAAAGATAACAATTCTACATAACAATAAGTGTATTAGAAAACATTTCAAATGAACATATTGCACGTTATTTTTAAGACTTAATATTCAATAAAGAATGATAATATCATGAAAAGCTTTTAAATTTCTTTCTTTTTATCTTCTTAACTAAAAATTACAAATGAAAATTTAAATTTTTCTATAAAGCAATATTAAGAAATACTTCGTTTTTCCTTTTGAAATAGTTTCTCATATAATCGGTTAGAATTTATTTGATTTTGTTGTTTCTTTACACTCATCCTAACAATGAACAATTAGTGATCGGCTAAATGTCTTTTTCTTCTTTTCCTTTCTCTTTCTCTCAATCTCTCTCAGTTCGTATTTTCTTCTTCCCTGATAACGAATGTGAGAAAGAAAAATCGTCAAGACTTTTGAATAAATTATGATCGGTATAATTAATATAAAATGCGTGAAGACAGAAAGGATTATAAATCACTAATTTCGATAATATCCTTCATTGAACGATATCATCACTCATCGTCTATTTTGGCCCGCACTTCTACTTCCTTGTACACAAGTCCTTGGGATAGTTTCGTGTACCCTGCCAGAGAGATTCAACTTTCTGCTGGTACGTACAGAAGTGCACGGAGAGGCGTTTGGCATACATAGATGGTTGCCAAACCATTGTAGGTATCGTCCACTGCACTATCCCAGCTATATCCAGGAGTCTCTCGGATCGCAAGCGCGTGCGTGAATAAAAATATTATACAGGAAAAATAATTCGTAATCTTTATAAGCAAGCATTGAACGAAATTTATTTATTGAAGCAAAAAGTAATGAATTACATTCTAATTTTCACAAGTTCAATGTTTCTTTTTGACATTGTGATATGCGGATGTGTTGAAGAGAGAGATCTTTGATTGATATTGAGTGCTTTTTCGAAAAATAAAAGTACTTTTGAGTACTCGTCCGTGCTATAATATACCCCTACGATGTCGTCGTATGAAGTAGCCCACAAGGAATGGTTCGAAGGGAGAGGTTTTTTGTTGATACCGAATACTTTTTCATGAAACTCAACTCCATCATTGTATTTTTCCTTGCTTACCTCTGAGCACTCCGAGATTATTAAAGTAAGTGACTATATTACTCTTATCTAATGCTTGCTTGTTTGAGTAACATTGTGTACACTTTCTCAGTGTTCTCATCTTCACCTAGTGTTTTAACAGCAAACCCATTCGTTACTAGTCTGTTCCAATGATCCCCTCTTGCACTCGTTTGGTAATAGCATTGAGCTGTTCGTCGTCACTTTCACTGGATATGTCACTGGCCACAACATTATTCTGCTGTCTTCGATTTTGTTTTTGATTTGCTAGACACGAAAAACTATGTATATTGAAAAAAGAATTCCTTTTTCTGTCTGAAAATAACTAATTGTGTCGATATGGACAAATAGAGCCGATGTAATCGATCGATCAATTGTCATTTCAAAGGCAACACCGATTTTGTTGTTGTTGAACTCGAGCCCTTCATTTATAAAACGAATTGTCACCATTCAGTCATCACTTGTTGATAAGAAGTTATTGAACAAAATAAGTTCATCTTGTTTAATTTTACTGTCGAAGTCTCGCTTTGTCATGTTTTTTCCTTGATCCACTTTAATTGTTGTTGTGCCATCAAACATTTCATTCGATTATTTAGACTAGAGTTCCTCGATGTTTCGATGTAGATCTCGGATAAAAATGTCCATTTTGAACAGGGTTTCAACTTGTAGAGTACTCACTGCTTTGTTAAACATGCAGTATGTGAAACATTTCCAAGCATATCACCAGATGGACTTGTTATTTTTGTCCAAATTACTATGTGATTCTTGGGTGAATTCGTCGATTATCATTAAGTGTTCGTCATTGTCAGCATACTTATTACGTGCATATTCGACTAGAGCATGGATTTCTTTCTTTTCGTCGAAACCGATTTCAAGTATAATTTCTTTGAAGAGTTGTAAATATATAAACGATAGTTTGATTTGATTTTACGATCATACAGTGCTAGTCACGACTGAATTTTTATCACATTCTTGAGCAGACTGTCGAACGCAGTCACAAATCAGGATAATATCTTTGAAAGTACCTGTCACTTTGAATCAGTTTTTTTTTCTCATACTTCGTACTTCTCTTGTTTCCGACAAAAGACAAATTAAATAGAGTTGAGTCATGTTTTAAATCCGTGGCATAACAGTTTGACATAAAACATCGGAAATAATTAGGAATGCATTTTCGTTTTGAAATTTCGAAATGTAGTTGACACATTCTTTTTTATCTTGGAATGTTTCAATAGTATTGATTGTCTGTCGCAGTTGTCTGATTGAATTTTGGTAATTCACGTTGGACTAGTCGGCCATTGCGTCAAGCCAAATCAGAAGAGAATTTTGCACAATGTCATGCGTATCAGTTAGACGTTTCCATTTTGCAATGTTGTTTGAGTCCGATAGGTAATTTAAAGTAGTTGGTGACGATGATAATGGTGGCGTTATTGTCTTAATAGAATGATCATGGTCGTGGACTATTTATATGTCATTATCGTTGTCAATTGTCCTGTTTACTAAAAAAGAGAGTATATTTGTTGCTAAAGTCTTTGCAAACATTTATGTAAAACTGTCCATTGTAAAACATTGCTGATTTCTTTGTCTGGGCTAATCAAAACTTTCTGAAAACACACTTGAAAATGAGTGCTATTGAAATATACATATAGATAGATAGCGAGAAAAGTGAGTGGTATCATATGCATCTACTATTCACATTTCTGTTCCGTAACGATTATGATGATGTTGTAAACTTTTTGCTTTCATGAGGGAAAGTATATAGAAGACCTCAGCTACATAGATGGGAAGAACGTAGGGAGTCATGGTTAAGAAAATCTTTATGAAAATATCGACTGAGAAAGCTGATTGTAAGTCAAATTTTGTTCTTCTTGATGTGATATTGGTTGTCATTCGTTCGACCAAACTTTTTATCCTGATAACGAGGAGTTAAAATGTATACATCACAATGCTAACATGTGGTAGCAACCTTTTCTTTCGAAGAATTACATACATTTTTCAGCTTAAAATATTAATTAGTATATCTCAAGAACAGTTCAACTTCGTTCAATAGTTAAGCTTGAAGATACATGATTAATTGCATCTATATTCGTTCGGCAGTGGCTCGCTTAATACTGGAAATGAAATTATAACAGTCTATCTATTAGACAAGTAAAATAGCATCCATTTTAGAAAAGGCTTTCAACGAGCAGGCCACCTGAGAATTAAAAGAAAATTCAAGACCGTTTACAACAGATCAAATACTGACGACTACAATTAACGAGCACAATGTGTATGAACCCAAATTCTAATCTGACCTTCATTCCGATGGCTTTTTAGAAGTATGCTGTGAAGATAATTTTAAGAGTAGTGAGAGACGGGTTTTTATTCTGCATTTTATCGCACTTCACAAACCATCAATGAATTTGAGCGTGAAACTGATAGGGAGAGTCTTTGAGCAATTTTAAAGATGAAAATTACGACGTATGAACAATCTATCACAATCGAAAGCTTAATTGAAACGATTAGACGAGATAGAGTAGAACAACTAGCCTAGATAAATACATTGGTAACGTCGAATCTTATGAACAGGATTGAAAACCGAATTTAAGTTCTGATTATTTTTTCCGATGACTATATTATATAGCCATTTTTCTAACTGTGACGACAGGCGATGACTCTTATCGAATTCACTAGAAATTACTAGTCACTAATCAATAAAACTCATGTCATGAAGGAAGAAAATTTAATGATCGATCAATAGATTATGCAAGATTTGGCTATGTATGCATGTTGAGATATGATCCATTTCAGTAAAAATTCTCATCTGTTCGTTTGATAAGTCAGTTTCGATGTAGCTAATTTCGGTGCAAGAAATGCCTTTGTCCACAAAACAGACAGTTTTTTCCAATTCTCATGATACGATTGTCAACCCAAAAGATATCCTATTATAATATACCTTTGTCAGCTTTGCCAAGTAGAAAGAATAACTGTTAATTGCCGTCGCCCCACATACTATCCATGCTGCCTATGCCATCTACAAATGCAATCTTGGTAGAACTAGCTATTGGTACTGATGCACTGCAACCCATAGTGTACGTAAAGTTAAGAATTATTTGTATATGTCCTCAACTTCAAATCATGAATGAATACTAATTAAATGGTAATGTTCCTTTAATTAAACGGAAATTTTCTTTCACGCCGATTTTTCTTTCTCAGCTATTGATAGATGTTTTTTGTCGACACTTGAAAACGTTGCCTGGCTTTAATAGAGAACGATGGATTGCAAAGTATTGCTTATACTGTTGGCAACTGTCTCTTGCTTATGTTTTGATGTGCAGCCAGTGTCGAAGAGTGATTGCATTGAGTCAACAAGTGTCTTGTAGAAAAAAAACTACCATTTTCTCTTTAAACGAAATGAATGATTCAGGAGTTTCTTTCTCTTCTCTACTATTTCGTTCTACATTCACATAATCACATTTTCAATGTAGTTCGAAGCACAGTATTTATGAAGACCTTCGTAAGTTTTCTTCTTTTTACTAAAGTGTGAAGCGTGTTATAGCGCTTGATCGAGATTTTTTTCGTTCTAGAATTCCGAATCGAAAGTTCACATTTTGGGGCACGATGATCTCGAGAACGCCACATCGTGTCATGCTCACTGAAGCGATATTAGTTAGACACGTTGAGATCTCTATATAGTACAAATTTTCTTCGATTTTCTGTATGATGATTCGTTTGCCCAAAGTAAAAGCCGAATATTATAAATCATCTATGGATTTCGTTTTGATTAAGTCAATATAAGGAAGCGACGCTGGTCGTAGCAATCATTAATTATCACTACCACCTATGATAGTTCACCGATGGGCAGTTGCTGCCATCTTTTTTCATAATTCTTAGAACTCTATGGGGAACTACTAAACCATCTATCGACAGTATTCGTTTGAAACATGTTGATACGCGTTGATATAGTTCTCGTAGTGATGAGTTTGGCTATGGCTACTTTCATTTTGATCCTAACTTTATCAACTGATTCATCGAAAGGTAACTTTTTCAATATACGAAAACGTATAAAAATCTCTAGTCCTAGCAAAGTACAAATATCCTTTGGAAAAAAGCGATTCACGATAAATTGTGAAAACAATTATTCGTTTTTTGTGATCAATCCGTTTTTTTTCAAAAATCGAGACTTGAGCTTCACACCGCATTTCGCATTCGACTTTCACTAGAATACCATCCGAGTTAAATTACTCATTAAGATATATACGAATATATATAATTTATTGTACTTACCAACATTTGTTTATCAATGCTGTACATAACGTTTTTGTTTACTATTATTTTCACTAAAACTACCTAAGTAGAGTTGTATATATAGTTATGACATCGAACATGATTAAAAGATGTTGTTAAGAAAAAAAAAATGTAACTTATTGTACTCAGATTATTCTTTTTTCTTCTTGAATAGTAACAACGACGAAATAAAATCTTAATTGAATTACAATGCAAATGAAAGAAGAAAAAAAAAAAAGAAAACTCTCATTGAAGTCAAAAGATTTTTCTCTTATAAAATAAAAAAACAAAAAAAAACATGCTTGAACTCGATAATATAGAACATAAAATAAACACAATTTTCTTTTTTCCTATTTATTTAATATGTTTTTGAAGTTGATTATGGACTTAAACTAACTTTATTCATAAAAGTTTAATAAAAATGAATTGATTTTTATTCTTTTCTAAGATGATAAAGATTACATTTCTTTTTCTGGTATTATTTCTATTAAAAACTAATGGTAGATTGATAAGATATCAACGACAACGACATCATTCTCTATTACCATCTGGAAAATATCGTATTTCACCAACAACCGGTATACGTATTGCTTTACCTAGTAAGTAATTATCTTTCTTTGTTACTATTGTACAAAGCTCGTACTTATTTCTTAGCACCTCAACAACTTAGCTGGCAAGCTCAAGAATTAGGTGTATTAATTCATTTTAATATAGCTACTTATGTAAATAATGATGGATGTATAGATCAAATGGTTCCAAATATTTCTTTATTTAATCCATATTTATTGAATACAGACAATTGGGTTCAAACTATGCTTGATTTTGGTGCTAAATATGCTGTACTTGTTGCAAAAGTAAAAAATAAGTTTAGTTTTTTCCTAATGTTTCTATATTTGATGATGAATAGCATGCATGTGGTTTTCTCATGGCTCCTTCGAATGTAAAATTTCCTTTGAATCCATCCGGTGAAATTATTTCATATAATTATACTGTTGATTATTCACCAGTGAAAGATATAAATGTTCTTGATGATTTTATCAAAAGTTGTGAAAAAAAACAAATACGAACTGGATTTTATTACACAGTAGTGACCAATAATTGGCTTAATGTTGACAATGGTTTTGTAAGTTGATTTTCTTTTTCAACATCGTTTAATATTTTACGGATCTAAGAAAATTGATCGATGTAAAACATAGTCCACAAATTGATAACAAAAGAAAAGAAACTATAACAAAATCTTTCAGCTGCATGAAGAGTAAAAGAATATCAGCTCATAAATTATCTCTAATCCTTTTAATTTTTCGTGTGATAGTCACATGTCAGAGTAAAGTGCACATCAATTATTTTCCAGAATATTTACTTTTTAAATGGCAAAGAAAGTGAAAATA